CCCAGGGTTTCAGTGCGGTCCTCCATCCTCGGAGAGCGAGCCGCGAAATGGTACTGAAGCCCGTCCAGGGTCTGAATTCGCTCGGCCCCTCCTACAAGCTTTGTTGCTGGATGCTCGGGAGCCTCAGCCGAGTTTGGGGCCGTCCCTTCTGTTCTTCAGGTGTCTACTGTTGTGAGTGGATCGTCTCTCCACGTGTCTTTTATACGCGTCTGTTAGAGCGCACACTAGCTGCAGTGCCAGAACCTTCCAAATCTCAGTCGCTTAACAGAGAAAAGTTTATTTCTTGCTCACTGCGGGGTGTGATGTGTTTGCGAGGCGAGTCTGGGCGGCTGCCGCAGAAGATGACTTGGGCCCTGGGCTAGGCCGACTTCTGACACGGTCAGCTCCTTGGCCCCCCCCCCCCCCCACTTCCAGCTGTGAGAGGAAGATTGAGTGGGACATTTGGGGGTAGGGGAGGCAGCATATGCTACTTCCTCCCATATTCCAGTGGCCGGAACCTGGCCACATGGCCTAAAGTGACTGCAAGGGAGCTAGGGAAACGCAGTATGGTGTGAGGAGGACTCGTGAGCAGCCTGCAGCTCCTGCCACGATAGACACCGGGGCCAATAGAGTATTGTTGTATCTTTTTAAATTGAGGTCACTGGTTCATAAGATATAAATTTCCGGCGTACATCGTATTTCAACTTCTGTGTAGACTACATCATGTTCACCGCCAAGTCTAGGTGCCATCCAACTCTGTACACACGCGCCCCTTTCCGCCTTCCCCTCTGGTGACCACCAATCTGTTCTCCAGATCTGTGTGTGTGTGTTTTATTTTTAAAGATTGGACCTGAGCTAACATCTGTTGCCAATCTTTTTCTTCTTCTTCTTCTTCTCCCCAAACTCCCCGGTACATAGTTGTCTTTTCTAGCTGCAGGTCCTTGCAGTTGTGCTATGTGGGACGCCACCTCAGCATGGCTGGATGAGCCGTGCTAGGTCCGCGCCCGGGATCCAAACTGGCGGAGCTCTGGGCCGCTGAAGCAGAGTGTGCGAAGTCAACCACTTGGCCACAGGCCGGCCCCATATGTGTTTGTTTATCTTTCACATATGAGTGGAATCCTACGGTAAATGTCTTTCTCCATCTCACTTATTTCACTTGGCATTTATCCTCGAGGTCTATCCACGTTGTCACAAATGGCAAGATCTCATTTTTTCCTAACTGGGTTTATTGTTTGTTTATCTCACTCTTCTTTATCCATTCATCTGTTGATGGACACAGGTTGCTTCCAAGTCTTGGCTATTGTGAACAATGCTGCAATGAACATAGGGTGCATGTATCTTTTTGAATTAGTGTTTCAGTGTTCTTTGGATAAATCCCCAGCAGTCAAATAGCTAGATCAGGTATTTTTGATCTTTTGAGGACTCTCCATAGTGTTTTCCACAGTGGCAGGAGCAGTGTGCTGGGGACCCCATTTCTCCACATCCTCACCGACACTTACTATTTCTTGTCTTTTTAATAATAACCATTCTGACGGGTGTGTGGTGGCATCTCACTGTGGTGTGATTCGCATTTCCCTATAATTAGTGCTGTTGAACATCTTTTCATGTCACGTTGGCCAGCTGTATGTCTCCTTTGGAAAAATGTGTGTTTATATCCTCTGCGCATTTTTCGCTGAGGTGGTTTTTTTTGTTGTTAAGTTGTATGGGTTTTTTAATATATTTTGGATATTAACCTCTTATCAGATATATGATTTGCAAATATCAACTCTCAACTGGTGTGTTATGTTTTCATTTTCTCGCTGATTTCTTTTGCCTTGCAGGAGCTTTTTAGTTTGATGTAATTTGTTTATTTTTTCTTTTGTTTCCCATGCCTGCAGAGACATATTAAAAATGATGCTGCTAAGACCAACACCAAAGAGCATGCTGCCTGTGTTTTCTTCTAGGAGTTTTATGGTTTCCTGTCTTACGTTCAAGTCTTTAATCCATTTTGAGTTAATTTTTGTGTATGGTATAAGAAAATGGCCTACTTTCAGTCGTTTGCATGTGGCTGTCCAGTTTTCCCAAGACTGTTTATTGAAGAGACTTTCCTTTGTATGTTCCTGGCTCCTTTGTCAAAAATTCGCTGTCCATAGATGTGTGGGTTTAGTTCTGGGCTCTCAGTTCTGTTCCATGGATATGTGTGTATGTTTTTCTGCCAGTACATGCTGTTTTGATTACTATAGCTTTGTGATATATTTTGAAATCAAGGAGTGTGATATTTCCAGCTTTGTTCTTTTTTCTCAGGATTGCTCTATTTGTGGTCTTTTGTTGTTCCATATAAATTTTAGGATCCTTTCTTCTATTTCCATGAAAAATGTCGTTGGAATTCTGACTGGAATTGCATTGATGCTGTCGATTGCTTTAGGTAGTATGGACATTTTAACTATGTGAATTGTTCCAATCCGTGAGCATGGAATATCTTTCCATTTCTTTGTGTCTTCTTCTATTTCTCTCAACCATGTCTTATAGTTTTCAGCATACTTGGTCTTTCACTTCCTTGGTTAAATTTATTCCTAGGTCTTTATTATTTTTGTTGCAATCGTAAGTGGGATTGTATTCTTGAGTTCTCTTTCGGCTAGTTTGTTGTTAGTGTATAGAAACACA